CAAAAGTGCCCTTTTACTTTAGTTCATTAATTGGGGGTCAAAATAACAATAAATTTTATGTATTAATAGTTGGTTAATTTTTATTATTTATAAGTTGATGTTTATGTTCTGAAGTCAGTTTTCTTATTTGTTTTTTGAGAAGTAATATTGATTCTATTCTGTTTTAATAACAGTTATGAGATTTTAGTTTCAGACAGAAGCTTTTGTTTGGGTTTCAATTTATTTTGACCGATATTTTTTTTATGGATACTGGGATGTAATGCTGTTGTCTGTCTTGGTGTAGATTCTTTTATATTATTATTGAATTTGGGTATAAATTAGTTTCGAGTGTAATGCTGATGTCTGTCTCCTGTAATGGCGTTGGGGCAGCTTTGTCTTGGTGAAGATGAATTTTAGTGGATCTGTTTTGTGATGAAACTATTAAGGTGAATCTTAGCTTATGAACTCTCTATTTTCTTCTTTTTTCTAAAACAAATTTTTACGTCATGGACAACAGTGAATTGCCACTCATTTGCCTTAACCTGTTTAGCATAAGTCTTGAATCCCGGTGATGAGGCTTGTTTCGGTGAGCTGGACAATGTGGTTATCTGGTGATTGTGAGGACCTCCTACTTCTAGAATGTGGACGCAAGCAAAAGCGAAAACTGCAAAGTTAATTTTGTCTTCAAATTCGTAAATTGCGTTCTCAAATTGTCCCTTTGTGTAGAAAATATTACATCTGGACTCCGGACACAAATCTGTTTGGAGTTAAGTGGAAGCTTGCCACGTGATAAGTGGACCTCACTATAATGCACTATAATGCACTGATTGGGTAGGTTTTTAGAGGGGTGTGACCCACTTGCCACATGAAGAGAGTCTAGATGTAATATTTTTTACCCTTCATGGGTGGTTTTGCCCTTCATGTAGAAGAGTGTGGTCCTAACGATATCACTTTGCTCAAATGGACCATTGGTTCCTACAATGGAGGATTAGACAACTGAAATTTCAAAATTGCATGATCTATATGACTCGAGTTCAATTTCGATTTTTGCATTGTCTGATTGAAATCAACATGCACTACCTTTCTTGAATCTGTAACCCGCTTTGGATCTTGAATAAGGATCAAGTCCAGTGAAATTGTTAAGAATTATAATAGGAAATAATTTATTCCTATAAGAAGTTATGAGGAATAAATTATTTCTTAATATATTTCCTTAATATAATGAGATATTTCATTTCCTATTTTATATTTATTTCCTTAGATTATGAATTATTTGTTTTCCTATTTTATGTTATTTCATATATCTCCTAATAATTAATATGAAATAATTATTGGAGATATCAGACGATGTATCTTTACTTTAATATCATTTCCTTTTTATTATTTTTCTTATTATAGGATTCTTATAAAAGTTATTTATACTCCTGTTCATATCAATTTGAAAATAAAGTATTCTGCATATTCTAAAATTCAATATGGTTTCAGAGCAATGTTTTGTACCCTAGCCACCGGTCCTTCTTTGAAAATGTTGGACTCTCTTCTTGCCATCTTCTATACAGGAAGGGAAGGACACTCATCTTGATATTTGAAACTAAGATTTTCTCTACCTTCTCCAATCCTTCACTGTTCTTCTCTGTCGTTCTAATGAAATCCTCCAAAATCCAAAGCAGGAAAATTCAACTAACGATCATTGCCATTATCGCTTTCGTGTGGAAGGCGGAGTGCCGGTAAGCGAAGGAGTTTGACCACCTATTGTGGTCTGTAGGCGATGGATCGTCGGGAGGATGCCGATCCCACGCTGCCGATCTGATACAGTTTGGGAGAGTGAGTGAAGGGGTTACATCGAATACCAAAGCGTTTGGCGACGCCATAGCTAATCTCAGTGAATACGCCTGGGATGGGGGAAGCATGCTCATCGTTCCGCCACGGCGGCGGCTCGCCGGGGCTTTT